CTTACTAGTCATAATTACATGATAAAAACGAATTTAGTGTTGCTAGAACATATGGAAAGATTAATTAAATATTTCCTTTCCAAATTAATGATTTTTTTTTTTTTTTTTGCCACAATTGAGAGAGTATCCTAATTATATTTGTATAATAAGACTAAATATTTTTTTATGAGTATATTTGTATACTGAGACTAAATATTTTTCAATGAGCATTAGATAGACCATCCCTCCTACATGGCATTCCGAAAGTGCCATAAATTTGGCACTAGGAAAATTCGAAGAAATAATAATAAAAAGATAATATAATTGTACCATAAGTGTAAAAATGTTATCAAATGATGCTTAATTGGAACATACAAAAATTTTGGTCTTTAAAATCAATATAAAATTAAATATTTATCAAACAATGACTCCAGTTATCAAATAACCGAAGAGACAGAAGCAAACTGATTTACACTCGTGGCCAAATTCCTCATCCTGAAAAAAAAAAAAAAAGATAATTACATTATAAATACATTATCTTTTAACAATTTTTCAATTTAATTTTTTTTATTTAAATACATTAAATTTTTAAAACTACTAGTAAGTATATCAGTCTAACCTCCATTATATGATCGACGATGTGCCTTTTGCTCTATATTACTAAATCATGATTTTGTCCTTTTATTCTTTGAGGGAATTTATCCTCCTAATTATTTTGTTATTTCTACTTTTTGCACAATAAGTTAGTTATTTTTTACTTTTTCGATATAAAAATAATTTGAGTACTTGCTATATAAAAAAGAAATAACAAAATAATTTTAGAGAAAAAATTTCCTCTGAAAAGATAAAATTATAATTTAGTAGTGTTTTTTTTTAAAAAAAAATGTCGTCAGATAATAGAACAATTAATATGAATTGGAAGAAAAATTTCTGATAAACTTTTTTTTATTTGATTGTATTTTAAGAACAAGTTTGTTGGGTATTGAACTACATAATAGAAGACAATCCTTCTTATTATTTAATAATCACACCTTACTAGTTTAACTTTAAAAAAAAAAAAAGCTATCCGACATCTATACTGTACACCTGTTTTGCTAGCTGTTAAGCTCACGGCACCCCACAGCACTGTTTTGAGAACGCTTTTAAATAGCGGCTTTTGTGAAGGATTCCAACCAGGCAAGGCTGCCCAAGCAAGCTAGCAGGTAGACACACATCCTTACAGAGATAGAGAGAGAGAGGGGAGCTTCTTTTGCAAGAAGGTGTTTTTTATATTCAGGTACATTTGTTTTTTCAAACACTATGTATGATGCATGGATGGTTTTGCTGTTTACATGTTGATCCTTGGAAACTTTGTTTTTGTGCAATTTATGTATTGTTTTCTTTTTTTCTCAATGCATGTTTAGCCAGAAAGGAGATGATGAGAATTACTATAAATGTTTTTTTTTTTTTCTTTTTCCTTATTTTTCTTGGGAACTTATTATTTAGTTATTACTGTAGTGTTTTCTTCTTTTTTTTTAGACGATTGTTTTTGGGTTTCATAATCTTTAGTGGTCTGTGGTGAAGGGCTTAACTTCAGTCCCAAAATGTCAAAAAAGAAAAGAAAAACAAATTCCAAAAAAAAATAAAAATGGTGGAGGCTGGTTGTAACAGTGTTCTTTAAAAATTGATGGATTATTATTATTATTATTTTATTTTATTGCTATGTAAAATACCATAGTTGATTCTGCAATCTGCTTTTGCCCATCATTTTACCATATATTGTGGAGTTGTTTATTTTCCATTTCCAGTTCTTTTAAAGTCTGGTTTGTATTAGGGGCAGAACCAGTGTCTCATAATTTTTGTTTTAAAATTTTTTAAAACAAAAGTTTGAATTTTTAACTGATAATGGAGTTCTGTTTTTTGGCCTCCAAATTCTTAGCCTTTCTGTGCAACAACTTTTATTTTTTATTTTTTGTTATTAATTGTGGTAAAATTAAAAATTTCTAGTGGGGATGTGTGAATGCATGCTCCAGTAATTTGGCTGGATTAATTACTTAAAATTTTCACTGACTTTTGAACTAACCAACTTTGCTTGATGAGTTTAGAAATCTTAAAAAAAAAAAAAAAAAAGGAAATTTTGCCTTGGCAGGCACCTTTTGGGGTTCTGGTCCTCTTTCTTGCCCTTTTGACACAGCAAGTCAATTTTAATAAAAGACCAACAAGTGTAAGTGAACAAAATAAAAAAAAGTATAGGTGTCTGCTACGTAAAGCGTGGTTACAAGAAACAGAAACTGCCATTTTCCAACCATGTTGTCGGAGTGGTGTGAGAGAGGGTATGCCCTGCCTTACATTTGTTGCTAGTTCTGATATTTCCTAAATATGTGTCATAATGCATGCACAAATGTCCACACTAACATTCATATCTGGTGAAAAACAAAACCAACCGCGCCTGCCTACTTTGTTTTTCATTTATTGCCCTCAAACTTCACCCCGGCCTTTCTCAGTGGCTAATTGATTATAAAGATACTGAATTATTGATCAGCGCTAAAGAATTCCTTTTATTTATTTATTTATTTGTCCTATCTCTTTTTTTAGTTTTCAATTAAATACTTTTTTTAATTAATCAATTTCAAATCACATTACTCTTTCATTTTTGTAATATATTTAAAATTTAGAGAACACGAATTATTATTTTAATGATTTCATGTATCTATCATGGATTCTGATATTGATTAACGAAATAAAAAAACTTAAATATAAATAAAAATAAAATAAAATTGAGGATTTAAGGAAAAAAAAAGATTTAAGACTTTTTGTCTTTTTCACAAATTGTTAAAAATACTTTATAATGGATTAGACTTTTATGCCCAACTATCGCAATTAATGGAGGCAGAAGAGTAATTGTGTAGGTGGTTGAAATAATGATATCAGCATTCGTTTTTCTGATTTTTTTTAGATCGATGAAAACAATGAACTTAATTTGGCATGTATTATTGGATTTGATGTCAAACAAAGAACATTTTCAAGTTTTACCTTTTAGTCTAAGTTAATCGAATTAGCTATATAAGTATAATTGAGATCTAAGCAATTGTTCATACCACCCCATCTTGGCTTTGATTTAGGCTGATCATGTTAAGTATGAAAGGTAGCGAGAGAGGTGATGACATCTCAGGTAAGAATATCACCTTCCTCAAAGCTCTAGTAAACTTAGAACACAATTCTATATATATATATAAACAAGTAGGAAGCATAATAAATTGGATTAAGAAACAGAATTATTGAAGCCCGGTATTTATTTTTTTGAATCCCAAGTTAGAGGAAAGTTTGCATTCTTAATAAGCCATTGGTTGGGGAGATGGAATCAGGAAATAAAGAGATTTGATTGTAAGAAAAGGTAGTGTTGCTGTTTGGGTAACCTTGCATGAAATCGACCTAAATTTCCCACAAATCAGACAGGAAATGATGAGTAGATATTGTAATATATTGTCATAGGGTGAGCTTTGCATGAAAAAACTCATACTCAACCGCTAAACTATACACCTGTTTTGCCATTAATTAACATTTTGTCTTATCAATTACCCTAACGAGCATATATACAAATTAAGGGTCTCCATCATCGATCAAATGAAGAAAAGTTTGATCAAGTGAAAAGTCACATATTCATACTGATGTGTCTCCATCATCGATCAAATGAAGAACAGTTTGCTCAAGTGAAAAGTCACATACTCATACTGATGTGTCAATAACTTCGTCCATAAATGAACATGTGTTAACAAATGCTGAAGCTCATGCCTCCCCAGTCTGTTTTGAGAGTGATTTTAAATAGTGGCTTTTGTGAAGGATTCTAGGCAGGGAAGGCAGCCCAAACAAGCAGGTAGACACACAGCCTTAGAGAGATAGAGAGGTGAGCACTTCTTTTGCAAAGAGGTGCTTTTAATATTCATGTACATTTTTTGTTTCAAACAATATGCATGATGCATGTATGGTTTTGCTGTTTACAGATAGATTTATTTTTGTGTGTTTTTCTTTTTTCTTAATGCATGCTTAGGAGGAAAAGGAGATGATGAGAATTACAATAAGTGCTGTTTTTTTTTCCTTTTTTTTTTGGGAACTTATTATTTAGTTATAACTGTAGTGTTTTCTTCTTTGTTTTGAAGATTGTTTCTGGGTTTCATAATCTTTAGTGGTCTGTGGTTAAGGGCTCAAAGGTGCTCAGTTTCTTCTCATCTTCACTCAAAAAATGCCAAAAAGAAAAGAAAAAAAATTCCAAAAAATTAAGAATGGTGGAGGCTGGTTGTAACAATGTTCTTTATTTATGGATTAATGTCTTAATAGAATTATTTATTTATTTATTTATTGGACCTTTCTTAATTAACTCTGGCAATTAATGGAGGCAGAAGAGTAATTGATTCAGTTGGTTGAAATAATGATATCAACATTTCTTGTTCTGATGTTTTGAGTAGGTTATTAAATCGATAAAAACAATGAACTCAAAAATGGGTCAGATTAATTTTGGATATGCCGAAGATTAAACAAGAAAAATTATAGTTAATAGTTGGAGTATATTCTTGGAACATCTTTACTCAATGCTGAAACAAGGAACATTTTCAAGTTTTACCATTAAGTTAACGGAATTAGCGAGGTATAGGTGAGACCTGAGCAATGTTCATACCACCCTATCTTGGCTTTGATTTAGGCTGATCATGATATGTATGAAAGGTAGCAAGAGAGGTAGGTGATGAGATCTCAGGTACGACTATCACCTTCCTCAAAGCTCTAGTAAAATTAGAACACACTTATTGTTTGTGTTTGTGTGTGTCTGTGCAAGTACGAAGAATAATAAATTGGATTAAAAACAGAATTATAGAAGCCCGGTATTCATTTTCTTTAATCCCAAGTAATTAGAGGAAAGTTTGAATTCTTCCTGAGCCATTAGTTGGGCTGGTGGAATCAGGAAATAAAGAGATTTGATTGTAAGAAAATCTAGTGTTGCTGTTTCGTAGCCTTCCATGAAATCGATCTAAATTTCCCACAAATCAGACATGGATGGTGAGTAGGTGTAATAAATTCTCATAGGATGAAAAACAAATTGTTTGTTTATGTTAAACAGGTTGTTCATTTTTCAGGAATTTCAAGGAAGCTGAACAGTACAATGGGAGCCAATGGTGTGGGTGCCCCCAGTGGCAAGCATGAAGGAAAGGAAAGAAGCAGCAAGAGAATGCCATACACGAAGCCTCCATTTACCCTTGGCGAAATCAAGAAGGCCATCCCTCCCCATTGCTTCGAACGATCCCTTCTCCGCTCGTTCTCCTATGTGGTTTATGACCTGTCCATAAGCTTTCTCCTCTTCCACATCGCCATCACATACTTCCACCTCCTACCATCCCCCCTTGCCTACATTGCGTGGCCCATCTACTGGATTTTCCAAGGCTGTATTCTCACCGGTGTTTGGGTCATTGCTCATGAATGCGGTCACCATGCCTTCAGTGATTACCAATGGGTTGATGACACAGTTGGCTCTATCCTCCACTCTGCACTTTTAGTCCCATACTTTTCCTGGAAATACAGCCACCGCCGCCATCACTCGAACACAGGGTCCCTTGAGCGTGACGAAGTGTTCGTCCCGAAGCCCAAGTCCCGAGTCGCATGGTATTCCAAGTACCTAAACAACCCACCAGGTCGAGCTTTAGGTCTTGCTGTCACGCTTCTGCTTGGCTGGCCCTTATACCTAGCCTTCAACGTTTCAGGCCGACCCTATGATCGCTTTGCCTGTCACTTTGATCCCTATGGCCCCATCTATTCTGATCGTGAAAGACTTCAGATTTACCTTTCTGATCTGGGCATTTTTGCTGCAACTATTGTGCTCTATATCATTGCTGCATCACAAGGGCTGGTATTCCTGATATGCATTTATGGGGTGCCATTATTTATTGTTAATGCTTTCCTTGTCACCATCACATACTTGCAGCACACTCACCCTGCATTGCCTCATTACGATTCCTCGGAATGGGAGTGGCTTAGAGGAGCTTTGTCAACCATGGATAGAGACTATGGGGTCCTGAACAAGGTCTTCCATAACATTACAGACACACATGTAACTCACCACCTCTTCTCTACAATGCCACATTATCATGCAATGGAAGCTACTAAAGCAATCAAGCCAATACTGGGTGAGTTCTATCAGTTTGATGGTACTCCAATTTACAAGGCCATATGGAGGGAGACGAAAGAGTGCCTGTATGTTGATCCAGACGAGGGAGGTCCTGAAAAAGGCGTGTTCTGGTACCGGAACAAGTTCTGATGCTGCTGCCCTGTGCAAGGTATCAGTCTGTGTTGTGTGTTTCTAATAAATGGGGGAGAAGGCTTTGTTGAGCTAAAAATGTCATGGACTTGTAATGAAACTCAAATATTTTCTGAGTACTTCTCTTACATCTTAGCCACTGTAGCTTTTGTTTTTAGACTAGAGATGCATGATTACAAATCATCTTCTTTTTTAGTGGGTATTTTTGAGCTAACTTGTACATAAAAAAAGACTTGGTTCACCATTTTATGGACTTAACCATCATAAAAATAGATTTAGCTTTTAATTGATCACTAAACTCTTTCTTTTAGACCAAATGAATGTAAATCTAATATCATTAAAAATAATTATGACTAATTATTCATAAATAATAAGAATTAAACCTTGATTTTAACCAAAACAACCCTATTGCAAACCATCTATGATTAGGATTTAACTAAACCAACCCTATTGTAAACCATCTATGATTAGGATGTAGTTAAACTAGATATATCTTAGAGATTTTTTTTTTTTTTTGGGTGTAAAATACAAAATAAAGGGATTATACATAACATTCACATAATCACTTACAGTCCAATAAAAAAAATGGAAGCAAAACTAACAGATAAATAAACTACGGTGACTAAATATTTTGGTGGTATGTCCTAAATAGAAATGAGAATTTAAAAAACAGAGACCAAAAGACACAAATAACAGAAATGAGAAATATTCAAGTAAAGGATTAAATAAACATGAATACTTTTTTTTTCCTTTTCTTTTTCTTATAAAAATATAAATTAGATTAATAAAAAAATATTCAATTGGCAGCTTATAAAATTATAATATTGTGATAAATATGAGATGCACTGAGAAAAGAAAACGTTTGAGGAAAAACGCAACCAAGTTACAAAATCATTGTTTATAAATTCGATCCATGAAATTAAAATTGTTTGAACTTTGTATTAGCCCAACAAAGGTGGGTTTTCATTTTGTTGAGCCGGGTTTCAAAGGGTTATATAGGCTTCTTACAAGGCGATTTAATTTGAGCATAGTTTGGGCTATTGGGCCTCACAATAAATTATTAGGCCCATTTTCAAAAAATGAAGTATACAGATAAGTTATAAACTAGTGGAATTAATTAATTCTTCTTATTCAAAAACTAATTATTTAGTTCATATATTTGTATTTTCTTGTAACTTAATAATTTTCATTATTTTTCTATTTATTTGATTTTTTAAGAAACAAAAAAAAAAAAAAGAAAAAATATTGGAACACCCATGAAAAATAACATTTTTTTAAATAAAATAATATCAAATTAAGTATTGTGAATATCGATTAAAAGCCTACATAATTAGTTTTTAAAATAAAAGGAATTAATTAATTCATTTGTTTAAAAATAAAGGGATTAATTTATAGTCTGTATCAAGTTATATAGTTAGCGTCATCTTTGATTAGGATGTGGTTAAACTAGATATATTTAAGAGAAAAATTTAGTGGGCAAAATACAAAATAAAGAGATCATACCTAATATTCACATGATCCCTCACAATCCAACCAAAAAAAAAATCTTTTAAGGAAAAGTAAAAAAAAAAAAAAGCTATGATGACTAAATATTTCGGTGGTATTTCCTACATAGGAATGAGAAATTAAACATTCGGTAAAGGATAAGTTTAACACATTTTGTTTTCTATTAAAACAAAGGGTAGGTTTTAGTTTTGGTGAGCCGGGCTTGTAAGCTTTATATAGGCTTCTTACAACGCGGTTTAGTTTGAGCATCGTATTGGGCTATTAGGCCTCACGAACATGGTTAGGCCCATTGCGGAAACATGAAGTTTTATGTAACAAGAATAGCTACGACAGTAAAATTATTATTATTATTATTGAGTTCCGTTTCTTAATCTCCAGATTATTAGCCTTCCTTGCGCAACGTTTTTTTTTTTTTTTTTTTCTTTTTTAAATATTTGATGAAAACCGTTTTGGTGATATTTTCAATCTTGCAAATAAATTCTATCCCATAGATTTTAAATAAAGAAAGACTTATTGACTAAAATATTTTTGAACCTGCTAACCCTTCTAAATTGCAAAAAAATGTCAATTATTTGAGAACTATACCAATATTTTGAACAATTCGACAACCGTTTAGTCTTTTATTAAAAAGACATTACTAAAAGTTTTGATATAAATTTATAACTAATGAATTTTGTACGATGAAAGAATGGTTGAGCACAATCCAAAAATATACACATGATGGGGACAATAGGGATCTCATACTTTTTCCGTGTTTTAATATTTTTTAATAATATAACTTTTATGGATGTTTAGAACAAATGAGATCCTATATTTGTTTATGTCTGATTGATTTTTTTTTTTTATCGGAAAAGCTTTAAATAATGCACATGCTTTTATTTATCTGTACTTTTTTGAAGAATTTCATTTCAGTTTTCACCTTTCTAAGCTAAATTTATGGCTTTCCCACTACAACTTTCATTTTGGGATCATATTGTCAATTGCTGTTATTTATTACATTTTCCCCAAATATGTGTCATCATACATGCAATGGAGGCGAATAAAGCAGTCACCATCTCTTCTCTACAATTCCACATTATCATGCAATGGAGGCGAATAAAGCAGTCACCATCTCTTCTCTACAATTCCACATTATCATGCAATGGAGGCGAATAAAGCAGTCAAGCCAATACTGGGTGAGTTCTACCGGGTTGATGGGACTCCACTTTGCAAGGCCATATGGAGGGAGGCAAAAGAATGTCTGTATGTTGAGCCGGACGATGGAGCTACTGTAAAAGTTGTGCTCCGGTACCGGAACAAGTTTTGATGCTCCTGCCTGTAAAATCAAGGTAGCTTGATCGCCCTGCGCAAGGGGTTGCTAATAAATGGGCAAAAGGTTTTGTTGAGCTAAAAATGTTATGGGCTCGCTCGTAATCATTATGAAACTCTAAAATTTCTGAGCACTCTTACTTCTTAATTAGCTTCTGTTTTTAAAATAAAGAAGATCACAATATCATCTATGATTTACTTAATTAAACTAGAAAAATCTGTTGAAAGAAAAATAGTTCGAGAAATCCGGGTTGGTTTGAGTACCGGTCAGGTGGAGAAAGTCCTCCATCAGACCCAATCTAGCCGGATCGGCATCGGAAACAGATGATGAATTTGGATATTCTGGATCGGGTGCAAGTGGAACGAAATCCAGCTCCAACCTGGTTTATTGCTATCCTTAAAAAAAGAGTGGTATTAATTTAATTTGTTGAATTAACTATTGGCCAGCACTACGAAAATAAAAAAACTACTCTATAAACTATTTTTTTTATTGAACTTTATTTAATCTTATCACTCATTATGTATTCCAGAATAACTTTAACCTGCAATTATTGAACTATTTCATTTTTGACAGAATTCAATGTTAGTGCTGCTATTTATTATTATTATTTCACAATTTTAAAATATATTATTTAGATGACTGACTGTAGAATGCATGATGACACTAAACTGTGATGGCCTTTCGAAAACATATTGTCATTGAGGGGTAGTGAGAGGGTATCTTACATCTTTTGCTAGTTCTGACATTTTCCCAAATAAGGATCATCGTGCATGAACTAGCGTCCATAACATTTTAGTGAAAAAAACAATATCAATAAGATCAGTTCCTGCAGTGCTTTTCATTAATTGCCTTTAATTTTTCTTCACCTATATTTCTTAATTTACTCTGGAAATTTATGTAGGCAGAAGAGTATTATTAGGTGGTTGAATTAATGGTATCTACCGACAAATTGTATCGACAGCCACTCAACTTTATTGATATGAAGATGTTTATATATTACAAGGAGCCTCAATACGTAGCAGAAGATAGAGCACGCACCGAAGAACGACCCTTGCATACTCAAGGTCAAGGATTCTATAAGATGTAGAAAAGCATAATTAGTTAAGAGGTATAATACCACTAAAGAAATCAGAACGAAAGAAACATCCTAGAAAGAGATTAAAAAAATAAAAATCAATTATTAATGCCGACAACCCTATAAAGTCGAGCAAAGGAAACAGATTCTTAAAGTTGTAGGGTCGTCGTAATTCAACGTCAAGGTGAAGGATTCTCTAAACTGAGCTTCAAGTCTTAAAAGAGTGAACTACACGCTTCTTTGGAGCCCAAGGGGCGGCCAACACAGTAACCAGTCTAAAGGTGTGCGTTTACCTCTATAGTGGTGTTAAATAGGCAAGGCCATCCATTTAAAATAGCCAAAAAAAGGGGAAAAAAAAAAGAAAAAAAAAGTGATACTTATCCACAACTCAACTATTAGAGATGGAGATACCATAGTTTCAGCTGGTGGAACCTATGAATTGGGGTTTTTCAGGCCTGGCGAATCCAAAAAAACTTGTCCAGGCAGCAGTTTGGGTTGCCAACAGAGAAACTCCACTGAAAAATTCATCAGGTGTTGTACGGCTTACTAACCGAGGACTTCTTGTCCTTCTCAATCGTTGTGGAAGCATCGCTTGGTCTTTCAAAACAACACACCAGCTAGGAATCCAGTTGCAGAGCTTTTGGATTCAGGAAACCCTTGCTGTGAAACAGCTGGAGGGTGATAATAACCTGGAAAACTCATGAACATCCAGGTGGTAATACATTAATACCAGGCATGAAGGTAGGATGGAATGGAATAACTAGCATGGACAGGTACTTGATCATAGAAGTCACCAGATGATCCTTCTAGAGGTAACCAGCCCAATACCCGCACGAATAAGTCTATTATATCTATGTTTTAATATTTTAAATAATTTTAAAATATAAACATAAAATAAAAAAATATATTTTTAATTATATATATATATGTATGTATGTAATTGAATTTAAATATATGTTAGGAATATTAGAAGAATATTTAATTTTAGTTAATGAATATTTATAAAGATAGAAAAAGTAACCAACCTGAGCGGATAAAGCGAAATTAGCCCAAAAAAAAAATGAAAACTGGCTAGTGATGAATTTTGATCGTGAATTGGATTTTAAGCGG